GCAAAGAAAAAATCTCATGGAACTCTGATTGTCGACCTGAATCGGTTTATGTCTAAGTTGGCTAGGCGGTGCCTTCCATTCTTTAAAGCCATTAAGAAGAACCAAGAGTTTGAATGGACTAAAGACTGTCAGCTCATGTTTGACAAGCTGAAAAGGTACCTAAGTTTGTCGCCCTTGTTAACCAGACCGGAACCTAGAGACGAGCTAAAACTCTACCTTTTCGCGAGTGACGAGGTAGTCAGTTTAGTCCTAATTTGCGAGGTGGACAGAGTGCAGTGACCTGTCTACTATGTAAGTAACGTCCTACACACTGCCGAGACCAGATATCCCAACATAGAAAAGTTGGCCTTCACCTTGGTATTGGCATACTAGAAGTTGTGCCCCTACTTTCAGGCCCATACCATGGTAGTCTTAACTGATCGACCTTTGAGGCAAGTTCTTTAGAAGCCCAAGGTCCCAGGAAAGATGACGAAATGGGCAATGGAGCTTTGTGAGTATGGCATCCAATTTGAACTGCGCCTAGCAATTAAGGCACAGTCTTGGCTGACTTCGTCACCAAGTGCACGTTAAGCTCGCTGACCCTTGAACTTGTCGAGCCTATGATCACCACAAAGGCATCAACCTGTGCGGCACTCGACCTAGGTTGGGATGAGGAGCCCTGGATCCTCCATGTGGACAACTCATCCAACCAGCGTGGAAGCAAAGCTGGACTAATCCTTTACGAACCTGGCAAAGTGAAACTAGAGTACACTCTCCGATTCACGTTTCGAGGCTCAAACAATGAAGAAGAGTATGCGATGCTTATAATCGGGTTGCCCCTAGCAAAGGAGGTCAACGCAAAACACCCTATCATTTGTAGCAACTCGAAGTTGGTTGTCAACCAAGTGAATAGACAACATGGGGCCCAAGAGCTCGCCATGTTGGCCTACCTGGCCAAGGTTGGAGAACTCCTTCCCAACTTCCACTCTTCGTACATCCAACAAATCCCGAAGTCCGAGAGCACCGAGGTCAATGCACTCTCGAAGTTGGCCGATGAAATGGATATCATGAAGAGAACTATCTACATTGAAGACCTGACACGACCAATCATTGAAAGAGTGGTAGAAGAGGTTGCTCCTACTTTGGCTCGTTGACTATCTACGCCACGAGACCCTATCTACAGAGTGCAATGCATCCTAGAGGGTAGAGTGATAGCCAGCTTGCTATGTAATTATTGATGAGCAACTGTGTCGTAGGTCGTTCAATCTCCACTACCTGCGCTGCTTGCACCAAATTGAAGTGAGCTAGGTGCTACGCAAGATCCACGGAGGTCTTTGCGGAGGATACCTTGGAGGTAGAGCGCTAGCCCAAAAAGCACTATGACAAGGATATTACTAGTCAATGATAAAGGCAGACACCACCTAGCTCTTGTAGAAATGTGATAGATGTCAGCGACATGCCAACATACCCCGGTAGCCCGCTGTCGACCTGAGGTACCTGACCAGCCTATGGTTGTTTATGTAGTGGGGGATTGACATACTCGTTCCCTTTCCTTCAACAACCGGGTAGAGAAGGTTCTTGATCATTGTGGTAGACTATTTCACCAAGTGGGTAGAGCCCGAATCGCTAGTCTTTATCACAGCTCAAAATGTGCAAAACTTCTTCTGGAGAAACGTTGTCTACCATTTTGGACTACCACATGTGTTGATTTCAGACAACAAAAAGAAGTTCTAAGACATCAAGTTCCATAATTGGTGTGTCGAGATGGGTATTCAACAAAATTTCACCTCAATAGCTCACCCTCAAGCCAACAGATAGGCCGAAGTGACCAATATAGCTATCTTGTAAGGCCTCAAAGCGCGACTTTCTCAAGCTAAGGGTCTATGAGATTCAACAAAATTTCACCTCAGTAGCTCACCCTCAAGCCAATAGATAGACTGAAGTTACCAATAGATCTATGCTATAAGCACCTTGGCTAGAAAAATTAAAATGGGGAAGCTAAACCGTTTTCAGCTTTATGGCCTCCTCAAGCCGACCTCGAGACACAGAGACCAATCTATGCAGGTCGGCCCCCATCTAACTAACTCGACAATGTTTTGACTTTTTTGCTACCCTAATTGGCCAGTCTGCTTTTTAGCACCACAACCTAAGTGTACTTCAGTTCGAAGGAAAAGCAGTTCACTTTCAACACCTTAACATACTTGTAAACTTGGCCGACTTCTTCACAGTTGTCCTCCACCTCGGTTTTAGGCTCCACATCCACCTTGTCGGCTACTCCTTTGAGGATTGGCTTGAGGGACATTACGTTGAAGTCTATGTAAGTGGAGCGACTTGAGGAGGCAATTGCACAATTTGAAGCCCCTCTTGAGGATGGCACGACAAACTCCACTCCTAGGGTGTGTTCATCCCAATTACATAAATCCTTGGCAGTTGCATCCCTGGCACGATAAATGTTCTCAGAGTGCTTACTCTATCTCTCATCGAGTAAATGAGTTTGCTCCTATGCCCCGATAATCAGGATTGCAAAGTCCTACGTAATGCAACATTCAACCCTTATACTCTTCTAACTTGGGGAGCAAATTGGATTGACATTTACGAGCTTATTGAACTAGTCATTCCGGGCTAGGGACCCACAACGAGCTACTCCATTTGCCGAAACAACCTCATCTCGGGAGTGGGGAGCAATTGGTGAAGGGTAACTTGGCCCTCCAATGATATCGTGATGTGTGGCACGATAGGACTGCCGCATGACAACTCAATGCCACACGAATAGTTGTGGATTCCACTAGGTCAAGGAGGTGCACCTTGGAACTAGTTTGAGCACCTCGTATATAGCTCAGGCACCTTAGGAGAGCGGCTAGCAACACATTGTCCAGGGCCGACCTGTGGTACCACGTTAGTATCGGTTTGAAGGACCTCAGTAGGAGGAGTGACCTTCCCTAAATGACTTACTGACCTGACTGAGGTCTAGGTGGCGACCTACGAGATATGCTCGCCGATCTCCTCTATGTGCATCTTATCGCTCCCGGGTCCTCTGGAAGTTAGCCCTGCATCGATCGTTCTGGAGGCAACTAGATAAGGCATAGAGGCCTAGTTCACGTGCGAAACTACCTTCGAGGATTTCAGACCGATAAGTCACGTCCTCCCGGGGATCTCGGACACGGTGCATGAAGCTTACTCCAACTGATGCCTATACAAAGGCACCCTCATTTTCTAAGAAAGGTACACGCGATTCAGCACTAATAGCTCTCTTGCTCTTAAGCTTTCCAATTCTCACAACTCATCGCTAATTTAAGCATTAGATTGCCTACCCCGAGAAAAGCAACTTGGACACTCTGATCTCTTTCTTTACAGCTTAGCTAGGTGACCTACTCAATTCGGCGTCCGAACTGTCTGCCAGTAAAGAGTTTTCAAATCGCACACCATCAGTGATTTTCAAGAAATTGATCAAAGATCAATTCTTGAAATTTTCCTTTTCAGGGATCACCTTTTTTTGGTGTTTTCTTGATTTCTGGCTGATTCTAGTTTTTTGAAGATGACATGGCATCCAACATGGCATTGAATAATAACTTTAATGCAAAAATAATTGGTCATTGAGAATCAGCACCAAATAGATTCAAAGCTGATATCTCAAAAATCGGCTTACATGGAAGAAATGATATCAAATAGCAAAATTCACCAATTTTTGAAAAAAAAAACACTGATTTTAAAAAGCACCAATTTTTGAAGAATCAGTAAGGATGAATAAGCATCGATGCCAAACATCACCTAAATAACATTTCAGATTCCATTGGAAAAATGTCTATATGATGCAATATTGGTGTTGTTTTCTCATATAAACAACAATGAAACCAATTATCATCTAGATTTTAGGATTTAGGGTTTAAGAATTTAAGGTTTAGATCTAAAAACCAAAAGGTGGTAGGATGTAGGTTCTCCAACTTAGGTAGGAGCAAGTAATGTCCGGAGTATTTGGATCGGGCCTAAAAGCCATAGTAGTATGCCCATTGTTGTCCCAACTGTAGTCTTCAGATGCATTTCCAAAGCTATATATACTAATATACAGTGGCTCCATCATGTTGAACTTGAAGAGACTTTGTCTTTCTTCTAGTCTTCCATTGACTAGAGTTCAGATATGCTCCTCACAAAGCATGCCTCACACTAATAATCTCTTTATGAGGAGTAGATCCGATCTCCATAGACCACGATTTCTTTTTCCTATTTTCTTTTCCTTTTCCTTTTGAAAAGAAATACATGGCATTTGTTTGATAGCACTAAAAAAAGGTTAAATTGCCTAAACCTCTCTTGAAGTTTCCGATAGTTGACGAAACCTCCCCTAAAATTTAGTAATTGTAATTAGTTCTCCTAAACTTCAAGTAGACCCTCTTTATAGAATCTTATAAAAAAGAACATGAAAATGTCCAAAATATACATACATTTCTATTGAGACTAGTTTCTGCAGGAAAAAGAACAATATAAATTTTATGAATAATAAAAGTAAATAGAATTTAAATTGCATGTTTACTTTTGAATGATTGATATAAAGGGCAAATATGAAAATAAATGAACTTTAGAAAAGGGATTGGAAGGGTTTGAGATAAGTGATGCATGCTAAGAAAATTTGGAAAATAACATTTTTGTTAAAAATAATTATATAGGTATTTTGAATATATTAATAATTTTTTTTAAAAAAATTCTATTAGAGGGTCTAATTACAACTATATAGAAGTCCAACGAATTATCAAAATTTAGGGGAGATTTCAGCAACAACCAAAAACTTCACGGAGGTAGTAATTTACCAAGAAAGACGTTTTTTTGGGTAATGAAGAAAAGTAGAGATACGCTGTCTACTATACTGCCTTTTACGGGACCGTCTTGATCATTTTGGCGGGAACGTTAACAAACAGACAACAACGGTGGTGCATGTGTAAATTATTGGAAAAACGAGGGTTTTTTCGTTGATCGGCCGGGATAATGTACCATAATATGTGCTGGGAGGGAAATGGATCATCCGTGTGAGAGAGAGAGAGAGAGAGGACTGGGAATTGGGGAAAGCGGTTTTCATTTTTTTCATTAAATAAAATAAAATATTTCAGACGATGAGAATCATGAGATGAAAGAGAGCGGTTTCGTTACTTGAAGGTCGCAATGGCGGTGGGGGTTTGGAGGTTTCCATGAGAGAGAGAGACTGGGCGAAGCGAAGCCAGGAGCCAAATCGATGAATTGTGAGGTGTGCAGTTTTTGTTTTCCATCTCATTGACTGCTTTGAGAGAGGAGAGAAGAGAAGAAAACCGGAGTGGTTTCAGGTAACTTCATTTTATGCGGTTTATCACCGAGAAGTTCCTGATTTTCCGGCGTTGGAACAGCAGTTCGGGGAGGAGTTGGTTGGTTCTTATTTCGGCTGAGTTGATGATTGCAGAGACAAGATTTTCACCATGAACGGTAATGGATATACCAGGATGGAGGGAGACTATATTATTAGACACCACCGACATGAGACAAGAGACAATCAGTGCAGCTCCGCTCTTGTTAAACACATCAAGGCTCCTGTTCATCTCGTAAGATTCCTCGATCGATCGATGCCTTCTCATCTCTGGTGTGCCTGTGTGTGTATTTTGTTTTACTTTTTTCTTTTAAAGTTATTTTCCTGTTTCAACTGTGTTTTCGAACCTTCAGGGAGGTCGATGTCCAGATCCTGAGATTTTCCATGATTTTTATCGGTTTTGCTTCAGATTTTTTTCTTTTTCATGGTGAGGAACCACGCGGCTATATCGATTCATCTCTGACGTTTTGTTTGCTCAATCCTATCTGTTTTCTCCGGCGGTATTTAGTGATCCTGTTGCGCTTTAGTCGCTATCGAACTAAAAAACTTTAAACCCGATGCAATCAGTGACGATAGTTGGTCAGATGAGTTGTAGGTTGCCTTAATTTCGATTTAAAGGTATTGATGCATATTTTCGTTCTGGATAGATCTTTCGAAGCATATTTGATTCTAGGAAATTGCTTGCGGTTTAGTGGATGTTTTTTTTCTGGTTTTGAGAAAAAGATCTTGTAATAAATATGAGTGAGTTAATCTGGCATGAATTAAATGCATGACTTGAATTCTAAAGACTAAAGAGTATGGGTGGGAGTTAAGATGAATTACTTCAAGTCTGTCCATTGCTGATAGTAATCAACTAGAATTATAGCTATATTTGTTGTCATCACGTTACATTGGATTATTTGTTTCAGAGAGTTGCTGAATCTTTTTTGGTTCGTTTTCTTTTTTTAACAAGGTCTGGTCGTTGGTGAGGAGGTTCGATCAACCTCAGAAGTACAAGCCCTTCATCAGTAGGTGTGTTGTGCAGGGGGACCTTGAGATTGGGAGTGTCAGAGAAGTGGATGTTAAATCAGGCCTTCCGGCCACTACCAGCACTGAAAGGTTGGAGCTTCTCGATGACGAGGAACATATCCTCGGCATCCGGATTGTTGGTGGTGATCACAGGCTAAGGGTCTGAACTCTTATCTTCCTCTTCTTTTGCCTATTCTTCAGTGTACCATATTGGTTTCTTTTGTTTAAGATTAATGGATTTGTCTAGGAATTGATTGAGAATCTACAGATCACATGGTTATTCCTTGGACCAATCCGGATGACATGATTTTATTTGTCTACTGCATGAGGGTCCTTTTTGTTTTCAATCAAAGTTCAGTTCTATTTGAACTTAAGTTGATACATGCTGCAGTTTGGGTAGTGCTTACTTTTGCGTGTTTTGGGCTCTTATTCCAGTGTGTTTGGTTTTGGTGATATAAATCTATAATTGTGCCTCCTACATAGTAAATGACACTTTTTGTTTTTAGTTTGGCCATATGAAGCCAAATCATCGAGCTTTGACACTTGACAGGGCAACTAGTCCATCGAATCATTCTCTCTTTTACATGTGTTCCTTAGTCTTCAGTGGAGCTGGCTATTTTTACCTTAATTAGGGCAGCCCCGTCCAGTTAGCATAGCTCTGAAGTCTGAATGTAAGAAAATGATCAGATCCATGATAACAACTTGTTCTTTTTACTTTCTTAAAGTTCGTAGAGGAGGCTAATGACATGTTCCAGAAACATTGAATTGGATGCTCCTAGAATGCCGTTTGGAACTTTATGTTTAAATCCACCTAATTTTCTTTCACAAACTGCTTTAAGTTTGTTCGGTTCTGATATTGTTGCTTATCTAAATCATGTTAGTTTGTCCCCTTCCCTTTCTTGGTCTACTAAACTTGTAGCTAGTGGTCTGTCTGCCTTAAGACTATGTTTGGTTTGAAGGAAAAAGTAGGGAAAGGAAAGTAAAGGTAAGGAAACCTTTACAAACCTTGTATAGGTTTTGATACCTTTCCCTTCCTTACCCTTACCCTACCTTTTCCTTCAAACCAAATATAGCCTAAATGTTTGAACCCAGGGAAAATTGCCAATCGTGTACCACACCCTATCTCCTCTCTCTGTTCTTTTTGGGCAAGGTGGAGGTGGAGTGGCAGGGCCGGGTAGTGTAGTTTTCACCATGACATGTATTTCCAGTAAGGAGGTATGCAAAGTCTAGCACGGAGACCTCTAGGCTATGGCCGTCAGGTGAGGTGATTATATACACCCTCCCACATGCCTGCTGAGATGATTTGGCATCATCTATAGCATGCTTTTTCTTGAAAATTCTACTGCCTGCTTGCCATTTGTGTATGTGAGTGGTACGTGCATTTCAAGAAAGACAAATGTATGGAGAAAATTCTGACATTTCAATAATACATCTCCTAACTTTCTTTGTATGTTGTGTGAATCCTTGATATAGTTTCTCCAAGGTTCTAAGTTCTATGAACAATTAAGGTTTGATTGAGGATGTGTGGCATTGTTTTGAATTATATGATACAAGATGAAATTAGATTCATTTTCCCTTTTGACAATCCCTACAACTTCCATAGTCTTGTAGACTAGGAGGTGGCTATAATTTCAGATTTCTGAGGGGGAGTACAATCTACTTATTAAGCAATTGGGGTTTTAACTGTTCACTTCACCCCTAGAAATCTTAGTTCCACCCTAGGGGTGGAATGAATTCTGACCGTGGATTGATGCCAAATCCATGGGCAGGATGCGGTTTATAGGGGGGCTACTAGTCGAGGTGGCTGTAATTTTAGATTTCTGAGGGGGAGTACATTCTATTTATTAAGCAATTTACATTTTTCCACCTTATTTGTGCAGAATTACTCTTCAGTCATTACGCTACATCCAGAAATTATTGATGGCAGACCAGGAACCCTAGTGATTGAGTCGTTCGTGGTGGACGTGCCTGATGGGAACACCAAGGATGAGACGTGCTATTTTGTCGAGGCCCTGATTAACTGCAATCTGAAGTCATTGGCAGACGTCTCCGAGCGGCTGGCTGTGCAAGACCGGACTGAACCCATTGGCCGAATCTGAGTAGGTAGCGGTCGGGGGAGATTGGTTGGAGGCTCTGATTGCCATGGATGAAGCTTCCGAGGCTTTCGGATCTCAGAAGCTTTGGAGACAGACTGGCACTAGATCTTCCATCTTCTAGAGACCATCTCATTTGCTATTTTTCTTTGCTTTTGTTATTTTCTCCCTTTTGGTTTTTGGAATCATGATGGAATTCCTATCTCTCCAGTACATCAAGAACCATGCTTTTTATATGGATTATCCTTTTCTAAACCTAACCAAGAATGAAAAAAAGGACCAGAGGGAATAAAAAGAAAAAAGCGGAAACACTGCCCTTTGTGATATTTCTGGGTTTTCGCTGTAGTACCCTGTCTTCATCCATGATTTATATTTATTTTCTGCAAGGAGTAGGTGCCTGTTTTTGGTGGGTTTTTCTTGTAGCTTCTGAACCTTCAATTTGCAAAAAGAGGAAAGGAGAAGTGATTTGTAGGCAGGTCTGCAGCTGAGAGAGAGAGAGAGAGAGAGAGAGAGGCAGGCTTGTATATACCATATGTATTCTTATTGTTGTAATTACTGTTATCATATGTTTTAGTACGTAAATTTTAGAAGACTTTGAGATGCGGAATCGATCTGAAAATGTCCTTATGGTTTTCTGGAAATGCTAAATACTATTTATTGTACGGTTTGTTTGAAAATCGCATTATTTAAAATTTTAGATTCAGATTTACACTTAATAAAAGACAATATTTTTATTGTAAGGGCAATTTTTTGTCCTGAATATCAATAAAAGATAATATTTTTATAAAATAGTTAAAACAAGGTAACTTTTTTTTTTAAAATATATATTGTTCATCGTCTTCCTCTGCCCTGTATTCTTTTGCTAGAAACCCTATATATAACTCATGTTAGCTCGAGTCTCAAAGAAGAAAAAAAGATATTAAAATAATCAATTTGCTTTTCCTCGTTCCTCCCTCCTCCGTCCGTCTCCCTCTACTGCCGAAATAGAGATCGACCCAGTGCCGATGGTGACATCAGAGAGAGACCCTACTTCCCATTTAGCATTGCCGCTGGGTTTCCGGTTTATTTTTATAGAGAAAAAACCATTTTCATGTTCCTATTTCGTGCTATTATGGAATTGCGGTATTGCGCGTCCATTGTATTTATTCATTGGAAATCAGGAAAAAAATGTTGAAGGCATGAAAGGCAATGAAACAATCATCTCTTCACTCGGCCAGTTTGGTTTGGCTCTTGCTTGGCTATTAGAATGGATAACTCCATTTATCAAAACCTTGATGGATGACTTTCTTTTTGGTGGGATCCTTTCTTGATATTTTTTATAAAAAAATATTTTATAAGAACGACAAAAAGTTGCCCTTACCTGTTGGAAACCCGTATTATTTTCCTTTAGGACCGGTACTTTTTTCTTGGGGTGGAGTCGATGGTCCCGAAGTTGGCATTTTCTAATTTCTAATTCATTAGATGGCTTCGTTTACTGTAGTAGGTTACCGCATCTAGAAAATTACCTTATCGCCTTATATCCATAATCCATTACGACTGCCCTATTACATATTATTACGTGCCGATGGACTATTCTGGTCAACGAGTTCATACTACTCCGAGATTTCGTTGTCCTACAACAAGATTTTGTGTGTGTTTAACTGTCCTACAACAATAAGGAAACCAGGAAAAGACAGCTTACTTTGTCCCGTTGGGAAGGTGTTTCGTGGTCGTTGTTTGCCACTTAGCCTAGAAAGAGGAAACCCTATAAGTAATATTGGGTAAAATAGAGTTCAGATCTCCTGCCCATCGTCTACTCACAGCACACTACCCATAGTGAATTGGGAACGTTTCCCCCTGCATAATACTGTAATAAATGTGGGCAGAATTTGTTTGGGTAGGAGATCCAGACTTATAAAATAATATGGAGAAGTAAAGTTTGTTAGCCGTTTAGACATGTCTCCATACAAGCCTCTTAACTCCTTGCTTATTATAATTCCTCCTCGTCCATTCATGGTCATTCTCGTTTTTTCCACTTATTTTCTGAAGGAGAGTATGTCGTCGTTAAATTTTGAAATGTATTAAAAGCTTGGTATGTCTTTCAGCAGGCACTCACATGTGATAAAACATTATTTACTTAGTTGGCATTCGGTAGTGTGTATATATCTTGGACGGGATAAAAAACAATATTGTCTATGGTAATATATGGTGTTTTGTTATGTGTGGATGGTCCCCGTCCACAAAATAGTGTGGACAGGAACGAACTACACTCTAATTTATCGTCCATAGTATTTTCTCATGAATGGTCTATACTATGGTCCTCCTCGTCCATACTATGGTCCATACCATAGTATTTACTCTAATTTTATTTAATTTTTTAATAAATTTTAAAATTTAATTTTTTAATATTTTATCAATAAAATAATAATTTTTAATGTTAATTCTAGCACAAGTCCGATGGTTCTCCTTCTCAACTCTTTTTATTATTTAAATATTAATTTTTTAATATTTTTATCAATAAAATAACATTTAAAATATTAATTTTTTATTTTTTAATATTTAAAATAATATTTTTAAGTATTTAAAAAATGCAATTGTTATCTACAAATTAATGCATTTTTTTTTTCAATTCATTTACCATATAAAATGCAAAAATTAGACACTTATGATGGACTGTGTAGATCTCCCATAAAATGTATGTGAGATACATGGAATCAAAAAATATGATCCACACCACACCTATGCCACTATAAGTGTGCACTGGTCTGATCCAAACAATCTATCTATAGTTTAGAACAACTATGGACTGTGGTGTTGTATAAATTAGTCCCTACCATAGGGTGTGGTGTGGACCAGTCCACACCTACCATTTTCTCATCCACACTACAAAACACTCTCTTAATTATGACTGTTGTATGTTCTTCCTAATTATAAAATAACATTTGAATAAACCAGCTTTTGTTAAAAAGATGCCTATGCGTTTAATAAGAGAGTTATCAGATACAATTCGTAATAAATAATCCCATGTTTGATGCTTTTTAATTTTTGTTTAAATTCAGAAAAAGGTTGAGAATCCAAGCAAAGTGGAGAAAGAATAAATTGACGTGGCCTAAGTCCTGACATTGTCTTTATATATAATGGTTGAATTCCAGGGAGGGGTCCCTAGCTCCCTGCTCCTCCCTTTGGGGAGGATGAGATGCTATGGGTGGTTTGTATTATCGGAGTCACTTGGTTTTGTAGTTTCACCCAGAGGTAAGTAAACTGTAAAAGTTGGGTGTGATTGAGCCGAGACGATTTGATACATTGCCTACTTAAGTTCGAGTCAACTCAAAATTCGCTACTTGAAGCTCGATTCAAATTTGATCCAGTTTTGTCTTTCTTACTCGAACCGAATAACATAATATTGAGAGTTATAAATTAAATATATTAAGAAATAATATTTTATTAAATAATTGATTAGGCTCGTGAACCATTCAAGTTGAGTGTTATGAAACTTGAAGCTCAACTTGATTAACTTGAACTTGATTATGTATCAAGCTTTTTTTTTTTATTTTTTTTTGAAAATCTAAAGTTAATTTCTTTAATTTTAGCATTTTCATATATATTTTTTTGAAAACTTCAGTTATTATTAGGTAACCCAAATTATCTACGGATCAACCCTCCTAACACTTACTGACTCAACCCAAATCAATCCAAACTGTCTTGATCCAACTTAATTAGCTACCTAGTAAAGTCTAAAACTTAAAATATAAATACCCCCTCCCTAAAGAAGTAAAAAAAAAAAAAAAACTTAAAAGTATTAACCACTTTTCAGTCCACCGTTGATCCGACAGGTTAGATCGGTGACAGATAAGTTCTACATGCATTGGAGAAGGTTCCCACTTCCCACGTCTACTCTAAAAGAAAGAAAAGCTCTCAATTTCCCCATCATATTTAATTTAAGCATTAATCTTTACAAGAAGTAATTTGAAGATTGTCCAGCTCTAAAAAAGAATTGTAGATTGTCCAGGAACCAGGATACAAACAAGATGTATGTTGACCACGACCGGTCTACTCGATTGGACGCTTTTTGTTTTTGGAATGATTTTATAAATTCCCAACTTTTTTATTCACTCTTAACTCTTAAGGAAACTCTATATTGGGACGGGGGAGAAATGGACAAAACAGGCAGGCCCAGGGGACACTAGAGTTTCAAGGACACGGAGACTGGAGAGTGGACAGTGCCTTAAATTTTCATGGATATAGTGCGCAGTATGAATAATGTTTTATGCGACTTTCGTTTTCATCACTTATCACTTCATCAGTACTCTCCCCCCAAAATTGCACCGACCAATGGCACAACTTCTATTATGGACCATGTGAATGGAAGAGATATGCATGCACCTGCCCACAAACCATGATGGTTCCATGCACGGAAGCGACAGTCCCCTCTTATTCTTTTGGTTCCACCAAAGACCTATTGCCAGGAAAGGGAAAAGAAGGGAAGAAAAGATGGAAAATAAAAAGTCAGTCCCCTGTTATTCTGATGATAGAGTACTTCTATAGGTCGGTGGGAAGGAATTCATATTTGTTCCTCACGGAGCGTGCTTCACACCAACCTCACGGTATGTTGCAGTCATGCATTGGGAATATCTCTCTATGAATGATAATATATAAACAAAGGAGATACTGTATAGCTACAAGTGCTGTGAAATTGGTGTGAGACACTCCCTGTGGAACAAAGCTAGACTCGGTGGGGAGTAAGCAACTAAGCATTCACTAAGATTCATAGTGTTTGGTCATTTCACTTTAGGTTAGTTTCAGCATATCGGCCAGTACCCTCATGGGCCTCAAAGCAACAAATTCCCATATTTTGAAAAATTCACATTAATTTCAAATATTTTCTTTTTGCAAAGCTCATGGTATCGACATGTTTGATACTGATTTTTATTTTTTCGGCCTTTTTTATTTTTCTTATAGTCCACTCCCCCTCAGAAATTTTTATTGATTCCCCAAATGTATTTATCCCCACTCTCCCTATAAACACCATCCCCCGTGAATTAGGAATCTTCCCCCTTGACACTGACCCAAACTGTGCGAACGCATTAGGATTTCTGAGGGGACTGAACCATGAAAACCCCTTTTTATTTGAGTGTCAAAACATCAATACTCCATGCAGTAAAACTGTAAAAGGTTTCATGTCAAGTAATTCATAAACCCCTTTTCATTTGGCGTATTTGCCAGATTATAGATGACTGCAGGGCTATGCTACCTCAATTCCCTCAATGTTCAGTGGCTTATGCTCTTAGATCAGATAACAAAGTGGCCCATTGCCTAGCACGTACTGCTTTATCTATTTCTCATTGCCATACTTGGTCTAGGCAGCCAGAATTTCTTACTGTTTGTATCCAGAATGATATATTACTGAGCATTTAATCGATTTGGCCTTGTTAGATTAGCCTTTGAAAATCTACATTAACCCCAATCATGGTTCAAACTTCAAACTACCAATAGTTCAATAGGTTCATATCATATCATACAATACATATTTAGTCACTGAAACGCTAAATATAAACAGTTAGGGGGTTCTACGAGTTTAAACGTTGCAAACCCTTCAAAAAATTGCATTCCTGAAATATGAAATATCAGGTTGAGCAAAGCACAAAAAGGAATATGGTACATCTTACACGCTCGATACGGTAGTATACTTTGAAGTTTGAATCTTTATTTTTTTGTATCTTCAAGTATACATATGATACCATTTTACTCAAAAATTAATAAGCATATAATACATATCATGCCTATACATAATTACATACATAGCCACGTGATGAATGATGTGGAACCCAATCTTCTAGATAAAGTGAGTTGTTGTTTATAAATAGAACCTGGCTTGATCTCATAAATCGAATAAAAAACATGATTTAAGCTCTTAATTCAAATAAAAAAGTTTATATATCAAAAAAATCAAATAAACTTGTATCTCTTAGATCAATTTTTTTAGATGGTGGATGGCTAAACAACTCGCAATAGTGGCCCCATACTTGGGTACGTGGTGATTCATTATCTAATTTATAAATTACGGTCGAAACTGAATAAAAAATAAAAAAACAGAGAGAGAGAGAAAAAGATGGTGCTAAATTGTCCTGAGCGCCAGCATTTGTAGCCAGTGCCTGGTATCTAAACCCAACTAAAGCAGAAGCAACACAATCCCATGGTACGCCCCCAACTGGACAACTAACTTAACTATCAAATACTATGTTCCAGTTTTTGAAACTCACAAAATGCCAAACCCCTTAGGCTTAGTTTGGAAAGAGTACAAATATAAATATGTCCAGTACAAATACATACAAAATACAAGGTTTTGCACTCTATATATTTTATATTTGCATTTATATCCTTCTAAACTAAGCCTTAGTAGATATGGATATTTTCATCACCATAGTTGGTAGGCTGTTTCTAAGATTTGAACCCTGGCAACCTAGGTGACCAGGGTTCAATTCTTGGTAACAGGTTCTCTGTATGTGCAGGGGTAAGGCTGCCTACATCTGTTACTCCCCGGACCCCACATTGGCAGGAGGGCTGGGCTGCCCTTTAATTGGTTGGCTGTCAGGAGACAGAGTGCCAAAAAAATGTTGGACGGCTGTCACTGAGGAGTCTGGATCTCCTGCCCACAAGAACTCTACCCACATAACATCACAATCATACATGGGGAACATCTCATCCTCCTACATATATTATGCATGGGAAGATGTTCCCAATGCACAGAGGTAGTGTGTTGTGGGTAGACGTGAGCAGGAGATCCGGAGTCACCACTGAGTGCCATTTTTAACGACATATGTGAAAGCATTACTCCATGAGGCATGGGCACTTTGGTTAATAAAATCCCTTCTGCTGTAGATGCCATTTTGGGCCCGTAATACTCATCGTTACCAGATGGTTGAAGGACGGGTTAGTAAAATCGAGCAAATCCATGTAAATGAAGAAATTATTGATAGGTAAGTTCATTACAACATGCAACCATAGGTGCCAACCTAATTGGAATGTAGGCCAAAAGATCTAGATGCAGTAATTTCCAATGAAGGGAAATTCCCTCTTTTTTAAGTATTGGAAGAGACATCTGATAAGTATTCCAACCTAATTGGAATGTAGACTTCACTAATGTTCAGCACACAGCCCTTGTGTGTTCGCCCTGGTTGTGGATGAATTGACTAAACATATTTATGAAGCCCCATGGTATCAGTTGTTTGTTGATGATAGTATCAATTGATGAAACTAGAGAGGGATTAAATATAAAATTAGATTTGTGGACAAATGCCCTAAAAACAAGATATTTTAAATGGGGCTAAAACAGAATATATGTAATGCAGATTTAATACTAATAGGAATGGAAATTAGGACACTGCAGATTGGAGACTGGGAGACATCTCAATGTGGCATCTTTCTTTGTCGTGGTTTGATAACCCATAGCAAGGGAAAGAATGAAAATTGTACCCAAGAATTAGAGCAAAATGAGCAAAATAAAGAGGTGCATTCAGAACCCAATGTGATGTGATGGGACAAGACAACTTAAGCTAAAAGGGAATTTACAAAATAGTTACAAGGCCAGTAATGTTGGAAGGTGCCAAGCGTTGGACAATAAACATATTATAAAAATGTGCAGCAAGAAATATTAATGTTGAGATGGATGAATTGGAAAACTAGAAAGAATAGGATAAAAAATAAACTTATTTTAAGAAACCTAGAAATAGATCGGTAGGTAATAAATATAGGGAAAGTAGATTAAAATAGTTGTGACATGAAGAGAAGACCATCTACAACAACACTAAGTGATCCATTACAGGTTGAAGAGTCTAAAAGAGTTAGGGGCAGACCAAAGAGTTATGGATTGACGTAGTGAGATGGGATTAAAGGCCCATAATTCAATAACGAGTATAGCACGGAAGAGAGGAATGGCAGAACAGGATTCATGTAGCCGATCCCATATAATTGGGGCAAGGCTTCATTGACTTGGGTATGCAAGAAACCTTTAAATGTCAAGACCTTGCACTCCTTGTCCTCAAAAAGAATGTCCCCAAATCTCAAACCCAACTATGAAGAACATTCAAAGAGAATCATGCATGCCGCTTTACTTACCTGCGTTTTCAATCCCTAATTGATCTTGATATTTCTAATTTGTAGTTGAGCACTTGATTGCCAGTCAACCCAAGATTAGGTGATCTCAGCCGTTCTCCATGGTGTGCAAACCCTCATGATCATTCAATTTAAAGTTCAGTGAGGCAATAGGTCATATAGACTGATTAGAATGCAGAGCTAACCATCGCTAAAAGGAGCATGGCAATAGCTCCTAAACATGATCAGTGGCAGTTAAAAAAATAGTGGATGAATATTACCAACTGACAATTTCCTATGAAACAGCACCTGAGTTAAAGTTGATCATTCTCGACTGCTCAGATAACATTAACAGTTTTTCATAGTTCACCAACAATTAATAGTCAGATTCACATTGTCTGTGTTGTGATCTCATTTGTGTTTTTTCCTTTCTCCTTATTTTGCTTCATGGGTGAAGGGGGGAGGCAGGGTGTTGCTTAAAGTTTAATATATAATAAAAAAGAAAGGACTTGCAGAGGAGAAAATCAAATTATGTAAATTACCTGTCATACTTTGAATACATTGAACATTGCTTCCCTTACAGTTGGTGGAGGCCTAGATTGTTGGATTCTAAGTCAATGCAAACTCTTCTGCCTGTTGTTGTTCAGAGAATCTCCCTTCCCGATAAGGTAGAAGTATATGTCTTATGTCTTCTGCACTGAGTGTCTCATACTCAAGAAGGGCATTTGCCAGTGCATGTAATGCCTTCTCATGCTGAAAATGCAGAATCATAATTTATTACTCCACAATCCTTCCTATCCTATCCAGGGAGAAAAAAAGACAACCATAATTTATTAGTGCCCCCTTCTCAGCAGCATGGGTAACCCCTAGGGGTGGTCATTTCAGCTTGTCTCGGGCCTGCATATATTTAAATATATGTATTTTATACATAAAGTATATATGTACATATGTACATATGTTATATTATATATTTTATATATAAATATTATAATATAACACATAATATATATTAGATGTAATATTCTATATTATATAATGTATAAAATAAATTTATATACATATTATATGCTATTCAATATAAAATATTATACCCGGAATCAAGCTCGGCCCAGCCTAGGCCCGGACTTATGGTTCAGGCCCAGGCCTAGGATATAGCCCTTATCATAGGTGCAAAGCTTGGCCCAACACAGCCCATGATCACCCCTAGTAACCCCTACTTGTTAGACAAAAGAACCTGTTTAAGAAAGAGAAAAGTATACCTATGTCTTAACTTCTACCATTATTAAATGGGTGCAAATCAGTAGCCCTAGTATTACCATGGTATGGTAGTACCTATGTCTTTTTAAACTAATACAAGAAATATTTAGACCTAATGTAGGAAGAGGTTTTGTCAAGAGTAATCGGTATGTTACTGTTCACACCAAGAAACCTTTCATTTAACATATTGAGCAAAATTACAAAGGGGCCCTTGAATAGGCGACCAAATACAAAAAACATAAAAGGACATAAATGCCCTTACACTCAACACTTCCCCTCAAGCTGAGCATAGATATTTGTCATGCCCAACTTGTTTAAATTGTTGTCAAGCTTTGATTTGGGGACATCTTTAGTAAGACAATCAGCCAACTGATCTTCAGACCCCACAAAAGGTAAACAAATCTCTCCACTGGTAACTCTTTCTCTAATGAAATATCAATCAACCTCTATATACTTTGTACGATCATGTTGAATAGGATTGTGGGCTATGTTTATGGCAACTTGATTGTCACAATATAATATCATTGGAATATCAATATGCACTCCCATTTCTGTCAATAAATCCTTCAGCCACAACAATTTAGAAACTCCATGAGCCATAGCTTTGTACTCTGCCTCTACACTAAATCGAGCCACGATTGATTGTTTCTTACTTCTCCAAGATACGTTACCACCCACCAAGGTACAATAACCAGAAGTAGACCGCCTATCATCAATAGAACCTGCCCAGTCAACATCAGAATAGGCCTCTCTACCTTCAGATGCCCATGATTAGAATACAACACCCCTTCAAATAGGCAAATATTCTATTCACTGCTTGCATATGAGATGATTAGGGATGGCAATTTTCCCCATTTCCTCGATCCCCGTGGGGATTCGCCCCGAATGGGGCAAGGACAGGGATGGGGAAATTTTCATCCCCATTAGCGGGAATGGGGAGAGCACTCCCCGCCCCGCGGGGACCCCGATCCCCGCTTCGTGGGATCCCCACTAATATATATATGTATGCATACGTTATGTATTTAAATATGTAAACATACATCTATATATTAATATTTTTAAAAATATAGTTGAATATGATTGAATATTTTCTAATACGATTGTAAATGTTAATTATTTTATTTTTATTTTTTAAATAAAATAAAAAACAAAAACAAAATGGTTAGCATTATAAAGAATCACGGGGAATGGGGATCCCCGCGGGGATAGGGATCCCCGTGGGGATGGGGATGGGGATGGGGACGGGGATGGGGATTTTCGTGGGGACAAGGATGGGGAGAGGCTCCCCATCCCCGCCCCGCCCCGTTGCCATTCCTAGAGATGATCTAGGCTTGTGCATATATTGGCTGGCCACATTCACAACATATGATCTGGTCTAGTCAGACACAAGTAAAGAAGGCGACCGACAAGTCTTTAATACACACCTTTGTCAGGAAGGAAATCTCCATCATCAACTTCCAACTAATGATTGGGATCAATTGAAGTTTCAGTTGGTTTACAATCCAATTTTCCTATCTCTTGAAGCATATCAAGGACATATTTCCTCTAAGAAATATAAATGCCCCTCTTTGACCTTGCGACCTCAATCCCTAGGAAATACTGGAGATTTCCAAGGTCCTTAATTTCAAATTTAGTAGCAAGAAAAGTCTTCAGTTCAGCAATTCTAGAGATATTATCCTCTTATTATAACAATATCATTGACATATACTATCTATGTAGTCACTTTTCCATTTGCTCTCTTGATAAACAAGGTATGGCTAGCTTGAGATTGTGAGAAGCCAACTTTCAAGGAAACTTTTCTGAGTCTATCAAACCAAGTTCTATGGGACTGTTTAAGGCCATAAAGGAATTTCTTCAAACGACAAATCTTTCCTTCATTCTCAGGGATGTTCACTCCTGGAGGAAGTTCTAAGTAAACTTCTTCTTGAAGGTTGCCATTAAGGAAGGCATTCTCAACATCCATTTGATACAGGGGCTAAGAATAGTGGGCAGCAAGAGACATGATAACTTATATTGAATTCATCTTAGCTATTGGAGCAAAGGTTTCCTGGTAATCAATGCCATAAAACTAAGTGTACCCTTTTGCCACAAGTCGATCTTTATACCTTTCAATTGAGCCATCAGCTTTATACTTCACTGTGTAAACCCACTTGCATCCAACAAGAACTTTTCCTTCTGGAATAGAAACAATTTCCCATGTCTGGTTTTTTTCAAGTGCCTCTATTTCTTGGTTCATAGCATTCTTCCAATGAGGGAACTGCACTGCCTCAGCAACATTGTGAGGGATAAAAACAAAAGCAACGAAAGAGATATAGGCATAATAAGCATAATAAGAGGGAGATAAGGTATTATAAGGGACATAAATCGAGATAGGATATTTAGCACATGTCCTTTTTGCTTTACGAACTGCAATAGGAAGGTTAAGGTCAAAATCCACACTAGGAGGCTTAGTAACAGATTCAACATAAGCATCAGAAATAGGGAGAGGTTTAGAATCCAAATTACCCGAATCCAGGAAGTTAGATTGTAATGGACATTCAATCTTTGGAGTCATCCTCTTTTTCCGTCTGACAAACCACTGATGCCAAGACCGAGGAATAGGAGGTATAGGAGGAGTACTATTGTCACCAAGGGAGGAAGAGGAGGAGAAGAAGGATTGACAACATCAATTGCAGTCGGAATAGGAATCGACATACAAAAAGGAGTCCAATCTTCACAAACATTTTCCCTATGAAGAGAAGGACGAGAGGAGGAGAAAAAGGGAGTATACTCAGAGAATGCGACATCTTTGGACACATACCTTTTTCCAAAACAAGGGTCATAACAACAGTACCCTTTTTGGACTAAAGATTATCCCAAGAAAACACACTTGATAGACTTTGGATCATATTTCAACCTAGAAGGACTCGTGTCATGGATGAAGTAGACACACCCAAAGACCTTAGGAGGAAGACAGAAGGTATCCTCATTAGTGAAAAGAAGCTGATGAGGAGACTAGAGATGAAGGGTCTGCAAGGGAAGTTTGTTAATAAGATATACAACTGTTTGTGCAACATCCCCCCAAAATCGAGTTGGGACATGCATCTAGAATAACAATACTCTAGCAACTTCAACCACATGTTTGTTTTTCCTCTCTGATACCCCATTTTGTTGGGGAGTATGAGGATAGGAACTCTGGTGAATTACTCATTTCTCTTCAAGGAAAGTTTGTAAGTGCTTCTCAAAGTATTCATTGGCATTGTCAAATTTGATAATCTTAATCTTCTTTTCAAACCGTGTTTTCCACCATACTGAAGAAGCTTTTACAATTGAAAGAACTTCATCTCGACTCTTCGTCAAATACAACCAGGTATACCGCGAGTGGTCATCGAGAAAGAGAATGAAATATTTATAGCCACCCCCATACATGGAATAGAATAAGGTCCCCAAGCATCAGTATGTATTACATGAAAAGCAACATTACTTCTCTTGTTACTTGCAAAATATATGGTTCTACATTGCTTTGATAGTTGACAAACTTTACACTGTAGACCAAAACTAGACAAAGACTCAAACAAACTAGGAAACAAAAACTTCAATGAACCAAAAGACACATGCCCAAGACAGTGATGCCACAATTCCAATTGACTTAGTTTCTCATCATGCTAGGAGTTAGACTGAACATTAACCCCAACTTTGGAGACTGATCAGGAAGATAAACTCCATTGGCTTTATGTCCATTGCCAATCGTCTTCTCCGTACTCAGATCATGAAAGACAAAATGGGATGGAAAGAAGGTTATAGAACAATTATGAGACTTTGTAAGTGAGCTAACATATAAGATATTTCTATGCAGTTGTGAGACATGGATAACAAATTTTAGAGAAAGGTTGTTGGTAAATTTAACTTCACTCAAACCCGACTTTGGGGTCTGAGACCCATTAGCAATAGTAATCTTACCTTTCCCTGAAAAAAGTTTGTAAGTGGTAAAGTAAGAAGGCATACTAATCATATGATCACTAGCTCCTATGTCAATTATCCAAGAGCTAGAGGATCAGGCATGACACATAAGTGTAGTACTTGATTTTGCCAAGGCACTAGAAGGTGTATGTGAACCAACAAATGTAGGCAACCCGCTCTTTTCAGCATGAAGTAAGATGCCTCTCAATTTTTACATCACATCAGAGGTGTCATTAGTAGATGCCTGAGCAGAAGAATTTCCCTTAAGCATGTGAGTCTAAGAATCATGACTAGCTGTAGCAACATGAATATTTACCTTCTTTCTAATTTTAAAATTCTTAGGCTTTAGGTGGGGATTTAGTTTTCGGCACCCATCCTTGGTGTGCTTTGGCTTCTCGCAATATTCACAAACTACCTCTTCAGGTTTACCAAAACTCTGTTTGGGTTTTATGGACACAAGAGCTGTGTACTCACCTACAGGTACTTGCATCATAGCATTCCTCCTCTCTTCATTCTGCACCAGAAAATATGTTGTGGAGAGTGACAAAATATCAACACCAAGGATATGTTGCCTGGTGAAGTCATAATCATCATTCAATCCAACAAGAAAATAAAAAATTCAGTTTTTCTCAATGTACTTCCTGTATTGTTCAGCATCAATAGGATCCTTCCACTCCAAAGCCTCTAAATGATCCATTTCTTCCCAAACTGATTGTAAGGAAGAGAAATACATGGCCACTGATTTCTCCCCCTGTCACATATTACATGTTTCTCTTCGCAACTAATAGATTCTAGTAGTGTTCTTCACTTGAGAATAAGTTCCAGTTAACCTGTCCCAAATGTCCTTTGTTGTTGGAAGGAACATATAGTTGCAAGCAATATGAGACTGCATAGAGCATACAAGCCATGACATAACCAACATATTATCCTGTTCCCATTTGGAATAATTTGGATCTTTAGGTTTCGGCTAAGCTTCCTTACCGATAATAAACCCAAGCTTACCTCTTCCTCCGATTGTAAGCTTAGCTGATTGAGACCATTCAAGAAAATTTGTTCCATCAAGTTTTACATTAGTAATCTGCCCTCTCGCTGTAAGTGGTGTGGTAAGGCTAAGTGTGGTGGTCTCCTTGAAGGATGAAGGAAGGCTAGGAGCAAGGGTAGACTACAAACTTCTATCGATAGAGTCGTGTGTTTGTTGTGATTCACACCCCCTTTTATAAGGAGAGATCCTGAGGTCCTAAAGCGAAGGAGCCAAAAGGGATTCCTATTTGAAAAGGTGATCTTTGATTTGGTGTTGGTCATTAGGGGGACACTGCTAGGGGTTCGCCGTGTGTCTCATGAGATCTCTCCAAGACGAAATTTCCTTTCATCTAAGGATTCTCATAGTACATGTGTGCTACTTCCTTTCACGGGTCTCCTATATTGACGTGACGTGGGTAGCGTTAGAACTAGTTTGGCGTGTCCTACTTAATCCTACTGGATGTCCTGTTACAAGTAGCTTTGGTTGATGGTATTTTCGTTTATCGCCAGCCTGTGGTGGCTTTGAGCTCATCGCAGGTTCATGACGAGTTGTGAACTCGCCGCAGGTCCTCGTTGGCTTGTGTGTCGCCGTGAGTGTTTCTTCGGTTTTAGTTTGGTGCCTTCATTGCCATCGCAGTCATGGTGAACAACATGTACTTACACCCACATTGTCATTACTTCTTGGGAGGAGATAGGTAGGTATGAGAACATCTTTGTGTGAGTCCATCGATCACTATCCTTCTAAAAACACCTTCCTCACCAGCACCACAGTATTCCAACACTAGCTGAACACCCAAACACCTTTCCCTCAAGGTTAAATGTGGGCTACAACAATAAAACAAGGAAAAATAGGGGAAGAAAAAAATTTCCCAAAAATGTTTTAGGGCTCCAAAAAATCTGGGACTACTTCCTGCAGTCTCAGAAATTTACCACGATTCAAACACAAGGTTTTAGTAGCAACCGACCCACCATATGAGCATGCAAGCCCTAAACTCTAGATCTGGATTTTTCGCCAATTTCCATCCAAAAAATCCAAGAAAAATATAAAACAACTTCAAACCTCCATGGAAGCTATATCAAAATTCCTCTAAAACAAGGCACATCAACGGGCATCACAAACACATACGAACGCCACTGACTGTATGGACTGCTGACGTCAGTAGGTTGGTTTGTGAGTCATGACCAACAGATGATGCTTTCCTTGATCTTACGATGCTTTGATACCAAGTTTAAGTATTCAAAGATGAAAGAAGAAGAAGAGGTTTTGTCAAGAATAATCGGTGTGTTACTGTTCACACCAAGAAACCTTTCATTTAACATATTGAGCAAAACTACAAAGGGGCCCTTGAATAGGCACCCAAATACGAAAAACATTAAAGGAAATAAATGCCCCTACACTCTCAACAACCCAATTGGAATGATTTTTAGTATTAAAAAACTGAACATTTTGGATTAGTGAAACAGTGGTATCTATATTATACTAGTCCAAGGATTATCCAATACATACACTCATTAAATAGGATACCTTTTGCCCTTTTACCAGGGCTGTCTTTATGTTCCACGACAAAGACAGTTGACAACCTAAGACTAATGACTTGACAGCTGTCAAGGCTGATTCACTATCACATAGAAATAGTCTAGGACTTTGTTTCCTCTGCCTATAATTTTACCATGTTCCAAGTTCAAACCCCCTCTAAAATGAAAAAAAATGATTGGGGCAGGTATGTTTCCATTTAAAATTTCAAATCCTGTTATGCCTTAACACATCCTTTTGAGTAGGACAGGACCTCAATTTTCTTTATGTAAAATAATGAAGAAAACTAATCTTACATACCTTCTTTAGGAGGGCTTTAACACGATAATATGCTTCTCTCAGGATTTTGATCACCTGCAATGTTTAAAATATATTATTTTAACTGCATTGTTTGTAGCTTTGGAAATGTAGTTCCAGATTCGTAGGATGTTTACCATAATCACATCAAGCATGGGATCAATGAAACTATCGAGTTGTAGAGCAATAATATGTTATTTATGTTGCTGTTAGCATGTTAGTTGTGTTGCTGTTAGCATGTTAGTAGTGTCAATAAGTTAGTTATTTCAGTTAGCTTTCAGCTGCTGTTTATTTATGTTAACAGTAGACAGTAGGGGCAATATTGTAAGTTTACTGTGTTTTAAACTATTAAGATAAATAGCTGAGTGGAGCGGCAATGTGTAATTGGCCCACACTCTTTTTCTGAATTCTCTTTCTCTTCGATTTCTCTTCTTCTTCTTCTTCTTCTCTCTCTCTCTCTCTCTCTCTCTCCTTTCTCTTCTATTCTCTGAATTTTTTTCTTACTGAATTTACATTACAGTCTCTACAAGACAAGTTGGTATCAGAACCAACTTAGAGTTTCTCATTTGAGTCTAATCAGGCCCATTGCATGAGAACTTCCTAGGGTTGGAAGTTTTAGCAACAATGGTCCATCAGCTGGTTCTTGGAGATTACTGGTAGAGTGCAGCAGTTTTCAAGGGATTGTAGAGCCCTGGAAAGTGTCCGGTGATCAGGAAGAATCAAAGGGAAGGAAAGAATTCAAGATTAGGGTTCAGACTGAGGATTGGAAGTGGCGGCCAGCCTGTTCTGGGTAAGTTTCAATTTTTCTTTGAGATCGACACCAATCAGAAACTGATTAGAGTGATCTGGAAGGAGCGGCTGGGTTCTTTCTGATTTCTCTGGATTTTTTTAGGGTTTTCCCAAACCCACGATCAGTTTTCTGACTGTTATTAGTTTCTGGGTAACAGTTAGATCTGTTTTAGCATTCCAGATTGATTGAAAATAATCTTTGGGAGATTATTAGGTCTGTTTCAACATTTCTGGGTGTTTGCTAAAGCTTTTTTTTTTAGAAAATGTTAAGTATAATTATATTAATCAACGGTCCTTTGTACAAAGAGAAACTGTACAAAACATAAGCAGGACCTCAAAAAAAGGCCACCTTAAAAAAATTACAGTCAAATGTATCTTCTTTAAAACCTGTATGTATAGACAACCAGATCCTAAGCAGCTCAATAGTCTTGTTAATGACCTCAGCTTCAGTAGAAGCTGTGTGATCAAAAGTCCTACTGTTCCTTTCAGTCCATGCTGCCCACAAAACAGCCAGAGGTAAAAAGGACCAGCACAACTTCCCCTTCTTTGTCATCCCCGGTATGTGCCAAGCCTCCAAGCATTCTTTAACTGAGGCAGGCATACTCCAGCTGACCTCTAAGCACTTTAGGAAATAGTTCCATATCTCTCCTATGAACTCGCAATGTAAAAACAGATGATTAACTGATTCCATCTCCCCACTGCACAGGTTGCAGTTCAAGTCATTGCATGGAAAACCTTTCTTCAACAACATTTCTTTTGTTAGGCATTTGTCTAAAACTGTCACCCAAGCAAAAAATTTAACTTTCATGGGTGCCACTGTCCCCCAAATGACCTGGCTAGGAAAACATGTACCATTTACACCTACTAAAAATCTGTAGAAGGATTTAACTGAGAATACTCCCAATTTCTCCCATTTCCACACTCTTGAATTCAGTGTTTTAAAAGCGCAAGGGCCAATTTGTGCCTGAGGTGCAAGGCGCAAGGTGAGGTGCATGCCTTTTTAAGAAAGGCACAAAATTACAAAAAAAAGCTAAAAAATAAAAAAAGTCAGAAAATTCAAAAAAGCCAAAAATTTTATAAAAATGCAAAAGAATTCAAAAAATATTAAACATAATGTTAATAAAAAATATAAACTTAAATTTTAAAATAAATGTTTTAAAAACCTATTATCTAAAATTAAAATACATAAACATAAAATTAAAAAATAAAAGCAAACATATAAAGCATTTTCAAGCATCTAAAACCCACAATCTCTTTTCTTCCTTAATTGCATTGCTTCAAGTAGCTAATGTGATATAAAACATATTGCATTCTTGATTCTATGAGTCGCCTTTGTAGCACGCCCCTCGAGGCAAGCCCGAACGAGTCTATGTTAGGGTCTGAAATTCTTATTTCTCACATAAAAAATAATGATTTTATAACTTCCATTGCCTTTTAAGAAGATATTTTATTGCAATGAATGAATGAACAACATCAGGCGCATGCCTAGGCGCATCAGGTGTGCGCCTTTTGAAAGGGGTGTGCCTAGGACCTAGGCGAGGTACATATCTTAAAATGCACCTTCCCTGTACACCTAGGTGCACCTTTTAAATCACTGCTTGAATCCTGGCTTTGCAAGTTCAGAGTCTGATCTTGAAGCAAAGCTAGAAGATCCCCTGTCTGTTGAATCTCCTAATCATTGAAGTCCCTTCTGAAGGAGGGTTCCAGCAAATGTTTTCTCCCCTCTGAACAAAAGAATCGGCTACCAGCACCTCTTTGTTAGCCGCCAAGTTGAACAAAGTAGGAAACAACTCTTTAAGGGACCTCTCCCCAGTCCAAGGGTCTAGCCAAGTTGGCTAAACCTTTTTTCAACTTTCCAAGTTGGCTGTTAGCAATTTCTGGGTGATAATTTCTTCATTTTCAGCATTAAAAAAGAGTTATTTTTCATAAATTACTTAATAGAGATGGCAGGACCTGAGTTAAAGGCTCAAGGGGAAGGTGTTTGGGGGATGGAAACATGACTGGAAATACTTTTCAGATTACCACTGTCAAATTTGATGGATCAAATTACTTGGAATGGGCTTAGTCAACTATGATGGTTATTAGGCTGTGATTGGGGATGTAAAGAAACCATCCAAGGAAGACCCATTATATGCCAAATGGGTTTAGGAGAACTATTTGGTCATGACTTGGTTGTGTAATTCCATGCTGCCTCATATTAGCCGAAATTACTCGTGGGCCAAAACTACTAAGGAAATTTGGGACATCATGAGAGAAACCTACTCCCAGCCACTTAATGTTGCTAGGGCCAATGAGCTGAAATGTGAAGTCAATAATCTTAAGCAAGGAGAGAAACTAGCCTCAATTTACTTTTCTACTTTGAAATCTTTGTGGCATGAAATTGATCACCTAGAGACAATTGAATGGGAAAGTCAGAAGGATGCACAAACATACAGAAAACAAGTTGAAACCAATAAGATTTTTGAATTCCTAGCTGGTTTGAATTCAAAATATGATATTGTGAGGCAACAACTGCTCATCAGAGAGAGTGAGACCTTGTCTCAGGCCTATTCCTTAGTGCACATTGAAGAAAGTAGGAGAAAGGTTATGTTACAATATCAACCTACGGAATCAGCCCTAACAGTAGTGAAACCGAAGTATGCAGGTGACAAGGAAAGGGATATGAAGAAAGAAGACAAGAGGGAGTTAGTTTGTGATCATTGCAAGAAACCGAAGCATACCAGGGACACTTGTTGGAAGCTGTATCCACATCTAATTCTAGAAAAGCTCAGAATAAAAAAGGGGAATGCCAATGTGGCAATTACTACTGATGGTGTATCACCCTTTAGCACAAGAGCCACATCCTTAGACACTTTAGCTTCTGTCTGAGCTGCTCTGACTCAGTTGGAAAGTGAAGTCGGCACTTCAACCTCCTCATCTCAGTTACTAGCTACAACATCTGCGACTCCCACTTTAGGATTTGCTCATTCAGGTACAAGGGCTTCAATATATCATGCTTCAGCCCCAAGTAACAATGAACCTTGTTGGGTTATAGATTTAGGTGCATTTGACCATATGACTAGTTTATCCTCATTGTTTACTACTTATTGCTTATCCTCTGGCAGAGACAAAGTGTTTATTGCTGATGTCTCCCTTGTTCCCATTTCTGGCAAGGGAGGCATTAGATTGTTTGATCCCATTTCCTTGTTTTTAGTTTTGCATGTTCCTAAACTTAGTACTAATATGCTTTTGGTTAGTAGCATCACTAAAAAATCAAAATTGTTTAGTGACTTCTTTCCTGATCGATGTGTTTTTCAGGATTTGGAGACCAGGAAGGTGATTAGGATTGGTCGTGAGATGAATGAAATCTACCTACTTAGAGGACATTCACATGGGGAAGATAAAGAAGTGAGGAGGTCATTAGTTTCTCACTCTATGAGCCAGGTTATGCTTTGGCATAATTGGTTAGGTCATTTGTCATTTAGGTCTTTGAAGAGTTTGTTTGAGTCAGTTCAAATGTCTAGTTTAAAATGTAGAAGTTGTGAACTTGCAAAGCATTGTAGAACAACCTATTATTTAAGCAATAAAAGTAGTATTCCTTTTGAAATTGTGCATACTGATGTTTGGGGACCATATCACATTACTACTATGGGGGGATACAGATACTTTTTGTTGTTTGTTGATGACTATACTCGTTTTTCATGGGTTTGTCTTATGAGCTCTCGAGATGAGGTCCTTACTCCTTACCCTGACTCAGATTTTCCATCAAATGGTTTTGACCCAAGTTGGAGTCAAAATCAAAATTTTCAGATCCGAAAATGCTAAAGAGTATTTTCCAAAACCATTGGCTTCATATTTCCTTGATCATGGGGTTATTCATCAGAGCACCTGTCCCCATACACCTTAGCAAAATGGGGTTGCTAAAAGGAAAAATAGGCATATATTGGAGGTGGCTAGAAGCATTATGCTGAACTCTAATGTTCCCACATGTTTTTGGGGGGATGCTATCCATACCGCTGTGTACCTCATCAACTGAGTTCCTCCACAGGTCCTAGACATGAAAATTCCATTTAGCCTATTATATCCCGATAAGGACTTGTTTACTATTCCTCTTAAGACCTTTGGATGTACTTGCTTTGTTCAAATTCTTGGGCCTCATCGCTCAAAATTTGATCCTAAAGCCTCAAAATGTATTTTTCTTGGGTATGCACAAAATCAAAAAAGATATTGTTGCTATGGACCTATTTCTGGGAAACGGTTTGTTTCTATAGATGTTATTGTTAGATTGA